TAACTTATCTTCATGAAACATGAAAATTATATAATCTTTTTAATCCCTTTCTATCCATCTCAATTACGTTTAGTCACATTGTCGCTTCGAGTGTTCGTGGCTCAATAACATATATTTACTTTACGTAATCCGGTTTGAACACGATTTGATACAGAAAAATGCGTGGAGCAAAAAGGAACACTGAAAAGATGAACAAAAGTAGAAATCTTATCATCAAGAAATTAATAAACTACGTAAAATCCAGCTTAGAAAAACTAAGAATTCAACAAGAAAAATATAGGGATTTTATTTTCTAATACGAATCATCAATATGGAACTATTAAGAATTTTTGGGATTTTCATCATCACTGACATTATCTTGTTGCTGGTTTTGCTGTAAATTCATGCCCAAATCGATCCTACTGTTACAGTTACTATATGCGTTGATAGAGGCCAGTAATCCCATGTTTGTAGAGTCTGAGACGAGTCCCAGCTGCTGAACTGAAGGCGATGGGTTTTGCACCACCATTGATCCGGGGTTGAAACGGTTGCCACCACCTGAAAACTCAAAACCATCAATTCTTTGATTGGGGGAGGGCTTGTATTGCCAGAAGGGGTGTTCTTGCTGGCCTGCACCCACAGGAGCCATGGCAGTTCCACCAGTCACAGGCAGCATCCAGAAGGCGTTCCCGACATTGGCGGTTGCTGGTGCCACAGCCCACACGGCGGGAGCCTGGATGAAGCTCGAGGACTGAGATGACCCGGGTTTTGTCTGTGAACCCGGTTCGTGATCTTTCATGATGGTTCTCCTAGGTTTATCTTCTGAATGTGAGGTTGCAGCATCTAGGTATTGCCCAAAACCACCACCGTTTGAGGTGAGCTGGTGGTGGAACCCAAGCATGCCAGTGGTGGCACCGAAAAAGAGAGGCTCAGACTTGGATGGTGAAGCTGAAATGGTGGTTCCCCTGCTGCGTAAAGAAACGTTTAGAGTCGAAAAATTGGCCGGAATAGTACCTGTGCCAGTGGCAGCTACAATTGATGGTTCAGCTTGTTGCAAAAGCCATTCTATAGTCTCACCATCGGACTTGTGTCCTAACTCTTTGGTCAGCTGGAAAACTCTGGCTGCGCATACGGCTGGCATGCGGATGCGCCGCCCTCGGCCATCCACCTTGGTGTGTCGGTCCTTGGATGGTTTCTTGGCTGCGGAATCATTCTTATTGTTGTTATTATCGGTGTTATTGGCAGTGTTTGTAGGGATAGTGGAGGAGGAGGTGGTGGTGGTGGAGTGACGGTGGACGGTGGGGGCTTGTCCGGGATTGGGTTGGCTTTGTTGGTGGTGAGAAACCAGTCGGAGAAAATCTGGTTCGTGGGAGCCACTATTACTCCCTTGGTTTTTAGTGTGTGACTCCATAAAGTTCTGAGTCTCGTTTGTCAAGAAAATTCTCAAACATTTGGATGAAGTTTAGGCCATGAATAGCAGAGAGAGTATTATTGACGGAAAGACTTTGTAGTCAACTGAATAAGTGACACTGTGATTGGTGGGTTTTTCTATCCCTTTCGTCCCATTATGGGTCGCAATGGGCCAGTGGACACCAAGCTCGGTTCGACTTGGAATAATGGGGAATCCAGAGGGCGGCCGCCTTAGCTGGATCCGTCGGTGTATATATATATATATATTTATTTATTTGTTAGTAATAGAGTAATTTTTTACATTATATTGTTGGTAATTGATTTTATTTTCAAATTTCCTTGTAACTTACTTGATGAGAGTCGGTCGTAATATATTTCAAGTCTTATATTCGAATCTTTGTCAATGGACTAGTTATGTATTATTTTTATTCTATAATTTTTACCAAAATTTAATAAGAAAG